CCCCTCGCACTGCCATACACTCAGACCCCCCAGCCCCTCTCACACCACGACCGCCATCCCCTACAAACCCCACAACTACCCACACCCCACATATCCAGACACTGACATGTTCCCTCACCCAACACTAACACCCTCACCCTCCCCACACCCCACATACCCACACACTAACAATCCCCCACAAACCTATCCCCATGCCCTCACCTCCCCCAAAATACAAGCGTAAAAGTTCATTTTAAACTATTGTGCAATCACCTCTATGTACACTACACAAACATGTAAATCAGGGCAAAAGCATTTTTTGAAATCAAATTAATGAATGTTGTAGATATTTGATTTTTAGAATATAATGTAGCATTTTTCTGATTCTGAGATGGCAAAACCCCTTGCTGAAAGGAATATTTCCAAGGGCAAGGGGAGGGACTTCTGGTGGCAAAGGTCAGGGTCAAAGGATCCCAGCAAAATAAACATCCAAATGTTTCTTGAAAGTGTCCAGATTAGGTGCTTGCACCACCTCTGGGGGCAGTCTGTTCCAGGCCTTGGGGGCTTGGACAGTAAAGAAGTTTTTCCTTATGTCCAGCCTAAAACCATTTTGCAGGAGTCTGACTTTTGGACCTTGTCATCCCCTGGGGTGCTCTGGTGAACAGGCGTTCCCCCAGATCCTTATGCATACCCCTGATGTATCTACAGGCTGCCACCAGGTTCCCCCTGAGCCTCCGCTTTTCCAGGCTGAAGAGTCCCATGGCTCTCCGCCTCTCTTCATGAGGCCTATTGTCTTGTCCTCTGATCATGCATGTGGCTCTCCTCTGGACTCTTTCAAGCTTCTCCACATCCTTCCTAAATTGTGGAGCCCAGAACTGGATGCAGTAGTCCAGCTGCGGCCTCACCAAGGCCAAGTAAAGTGGGAGGATGACATCCTGGGTCTTGCTCAAGATGCGTCGGTAGATGCAAGCCAGAGTTTTGTTCACTTTGCTAGCTGTAGTATTGCATTGGTGATTTTTAGAATATAATTTAGTATTTTTCTGGTTCTGAGATGGCAAAACCCTTGCTGAACGGAGTATTTCCAGGGGCAAGGGGAGGCAAAGGTCTGGTGACTAAGGTCAGGGTTAGGGGGCGGGACTTCTGGTCACATGATGGTGACCATGGGAGGGGGCACCTGTCAAGGGGTGGGGCTACCCATGCAGCCCTCAACAGCTTGCCAAAACTCAGTAAGTGGTCCTCCGCCTGAAATAATTGCCCAGCCCTGAACTATGCCATCTCACAGATGGTGGGCACTCCATGACATAGGATGAAATGGCCATCTTGATGAAGGAGTCTACCACCACTAAGACTGTGATGTGGTTCTGGGAGCACTGAAGGTCAATGACACAATCCAAAGAGACCATGGCCCAAGGCCTGAGAATTGTGGGTAGGGGCTAAAGGAAGCCAAAGGGCTTGGCCCTACAGGTGTTGGTGTGGGAGCAGGTCTCACAAGAGACAATGTAGGCCTTGATGTCTGCCTGCATCTTTGGTTACCAGAAATTCTGGGCTAGGAGTCTCCTGGCTTAGCCTGGCCAAAGTGCCTCACCACCAGGGAGTCATGGTCGAGCGTTGAGTAACTCTAACCATAATTTCACAGATGTGCCCTAGCAATAAAGCATGCCCCTTCTAACCTGAAGTTCTGTCCTATTTAGGACTCTTGATACAACAAACAGTATGGGGGCATCTCTAGGAAGGAGGGTTTTCCATGAAGTCCCTCTCCCTAGCCCCACTTCCACAGTAAAGAAGTTTTTCCTTATGTCCAGCCTAAAACCATTTTGCAGGAGTCTGACTTTTGGACCTTGTCATCCCCTGGGGTGCTCTGGTGAACAGGCGTTCCCCCAGATCCTTATGCATACCCCTGATGTATCTACAGGCTGCCACCAGGTTCCCCCTGAGCCTCCGCTTTTCCAGGCTGAAGAGTCCCATGGCTCTCCGCCTCTCTTCATGAGGCCTATTGTCTTGTCCTCTGATCATGCATGTGGCTCTCCTCTGGACTCTTTCAAGCTTCTCCACATCCTTCCTAAATTGTGGAGCCCAGAACTGGATGCAGTAGTCCAGCTGCGGCCTCACCAAGGCCAAGTAAAGTGGGAGGATGACATCCTGGGTCTTGCTCAAGATGCGTCGGTAGATGCAAGCCAGAGTTTTGTTCACTTTGCTAGCTGTAGTATTGCATTGGTGATTTTTAGAATATAATTTAGTATTTTTCTGGTTCTGAGATGGCAAAACCCTTGCTGAACGGAGTATTTCCAGGGGCAAGGGGAGGCAAAGGTCTGGTGACTAAGGTCAGGGTTAGGGGGCGGGACTTCTGGTCACATGATGGTGACCATGGGAGGGGGCACCTGTCAAGGGGTGGGGCTACCCATGCAGCCCTCAACAGCTTGCCAAAACTCAGTAAGTGGTCCTCCGCCTGAAATAATTGCCCAGCCCTGAACTATGCCATCTCACAGATGGTGGGCACTCCATGACATAGGATGAAATGGCCATCTTGATGAAGGAGTCTACCACCACTAAGACTGTGATGTGGTTCTGGGAGCACTGAAGGTCAATGACACAATCCAAAGAGACCATGGCCCAAGGCCTGAGAATTGTGGGTAGGGGCTAAAGGAAGCCAAAGGGCTTGGCCCTACAGGTGTTGGTGTGGGAGCAGGTCTCACAAGAGACAATGTAGGCCTTGATGTCTGCCTGCATCTTTGGTTACCAGAAATTCTGGGCTAGGAGTCTCCTGGCTTAGCCTGGCCAAAGTGCCTCACCACCAGGGAGTCATGGTCGAGCGTTGAGTAACTCTAACCATAATTTCACAGATGTGCCCTAGCAATAAAGCATGCCCCTTCTAACCTGAAGTTCTGTCCTATTTAGGACTCTTGATACAACAAACAGTATGGGGGCATCTCTAGGAAGGAGGGTTTTCCATGAAGTCCCTCTCCCTAGCCCCACTTCCAAAGTTTATGGGCCCTAGGATACTTGATAGGTTCTATGGCGTGACATTAGAATATTCCTCCTTCCAAGACAAGGCATCCACCTTACCATTGTGGACTTCTGGCCTGTAAATAACTTTAAAATTGAACCTGAAACAGAGAACATGTTAATGGCTAGAGGGTCTTGTTTTTCTGCTCAGGGTAAGACTGACCACATTTGGGATCAGGAGGAAATTTTACCCCATGACCATACTAGTATGGACTGTGGAGAGTCTTGCCTTCTTTACAGCAGGAAGCCTGGTCCTTTTCCTTGGAGTTCTTGAGCATATTTTAACTAACTACGTCCTGTCTTTGCAGTGGCAGGATATTGATAGTGCCCTCATTCTCTTGCTTCACCTATGGTAAGTTAGAGTGGTTTTTGATGTTTTGGTCATTGTGCCTGGCAGTGGATGTGGATGCTGTGGATAAGGATGATAATTGCCTTAGGCAGGGGCTTGGACTAAATGACTTCCTGAGGTCTCTTCTAGCCCTATGTCTCTCTGATTCTATGATACCCAATGGTCAAACACTCAGGTTTGAAACTGCAGTCACATAAGCATGGGAGAAGCTAGAATTGGGACCAGGAAGAAAGGAGCCAAGAGCCAATATGTGGAAATCAGAAGTCAGGAACACTGTTCATAAATTCAGCAGCTAGCTATGAAGCTGCTGAAGAGCCTGTAGATGTTCAACCCTTGTGGGCTTAGGTAGAGGGTCCTCCTGCCCTTCTTAGCCTTCAGGCATGGCTAGCTTCATATATCCCAGCCTGGGCAAAGCTGCCTCTTATGGCTGCTGACAGTAACCCCAACTTCTTAGGTGACCCAGATCCAGGTCCTTCTGGGTGGGCTTGATGGAATGCCTGTACTATCAGAGTCGCTGTAAGTAAAGTGCCATCCCACCTGACCCCCAGAGCGTGTGTAAAAATGCCTGTTGTGTTCAATGAGGCACAAATCGTTAGTGTTCCAATCTCCACCAGTAAAGGCACAAATCCCAACCCTACGGCTGATCCTGCTCTTCAGGTGACTCTTTAGGCCAGTAGTTCCCAACATTTCTTATACTCTGGACCGGCAAACACACTCAAAGAATTTTGGCGGACCAGGTATAGGATTAATCTAATTTACATATTTAAATTTAATTTTTATGTGATGAAGGGTTGCAAGGATCGGATCAGGTTAGGGCACCAGGGGACCCTGCAGGGGAGGGGGCTGCACAGGTGGTGGCCTGGGCTGCCTGAGCAGAAGAGGCTCCGCTGCCTTCCCTAGGAGTAAGCAGCGGAGCCACCTCCCCACCCTCCACCCTGGGAAATTCCCTGCCCACATCCCCCCACTCCCAGCCATGGGCGAGGCTGGGGGGGTTCCCGCCCAGCCTGGTGCAGGTCCTAGTACCTTTTGTGCAGGCAGTGCCTCACAGGGTGCAGCCATGGTGGTGACAGTGGAGCGGGGCACACGGAGCTGGCTGCCTCCCTTCCTCCTAGGGCTGCCCTGCCACCCAGCTTTAACCCTGCATGTGACTGCCGGCAGCGGAAGTCGCTCGCCTGGGCGGGCAGACGACCTAGCAGCCAACCCTTCGTGGCCCGGTACCAGGCCGCAGCCTGGTGGTTGGGAACCTCTGTTTTAGGCAACAGACAAGACCACAGAACATTAATCTACATTGGGTCCAGCAGCGGTGATCCAATGGGGACAACTGGCCAGAAGCAGGAGACTTTTGGGGATACCCAGACAAGTTGCCTCATTTCAAGCACTATTCAGTAAGATAGATTGATTCAGATAGATGTGTAATGTATGCATTGTGTAATGTTATGCACTGTGTGCACTGAAAATGTGATGCGAGTGTGTGACAGAAGGGGAGCAACCTTGTGGAGTTTGCCGACTGACCATGGACTACAAACCCCAGAGGCACCTGGAAGCAGGAAGAGGAAGTGATGAGAAACCCTGCAGAGCCCTGCTACTGGACTGGAAATCCCAGAATATCTTGGGGACAGCAGGAAGAGGTGGTAACCTCTGAGCCCTGGCTGGCTATGTGCCAGAAGCCCTGGGGGTGATGGTGCTGCTGTGAGCTGGACTGAAAGAGACAGGAGCCTCTGCACAGCACAGATTAAATCACAGAGTGACTGCACATGATCCCTGACCTACAGACCTACAAGGAGTGACCCTGGACTAAAGGCTGGTTCTTGGGAACACCTCTGGAGTCGGCAGGGGACCCTGTGTGCTGAATGTATGTACCCCAGTGGTACTGACCACTACCTGTTTGCTTGCCCTCTAAGTGTATGTTGTGAATGCCTATTTCCCTGTGTATTTGTCCTTTCCTGTTGGCCTGTGAACCTAACCCCTAGGATACTCAATATAAAGTGAATTCCTCATTGGCTGCCTTGACTAGGCTACAGGGTCGTAGGTCCCTTTCTGTCCTGGTTGTAGCTTGTGCCCATACTTGGCAATGTACAAGGGACACCTGGGCACAGGAATATAGGATAAATTGGCAAAAGACCTCTCCTAGCTTTCCTTCCATGTAATACCCCCAAACCTGCAGACCCAACAATTACTAGATCCTCCTGTGGGCCTCAGGGTGCATCACTTAGAGACAAGCTGCCTTCTAACTTTATAGTTTGTTTTTTCTAAATAGCTGTTTTTCTTTGCTCTGTGTGCATGTGTGTGTGTGTGTGTGTGTGTGTGAAAACAGTTTAATATTGAAAATTTGAATATGAATATTAAAAAATATAAAAAGCCCTTAATATTTCACATCTCTCAAGTGCACTGCGATCCAAAGTAGAAGCCAGACAAATTCCAAGGGAGGGCATCTTAGCAATACACAAATATGAAGAGCCAGAGCTTCAACCAACTGTTTGCCCCCTTTGCAACAAGAGAACAAATTCCTCTCATTTGTGGATCTCCATCTATTTTCTATGTAGGGACCTAGGAATTTATTTATGTAACATAATACTTCAAACCATTCCTAGGAAACTGGAAGCCACATTCACTGATATATGCCAACTACTTCCACTAAGTAAGCCCAGCTGAACATGTAATGGACTTGCCTTTACTACTGCCTTGAATCCCAGGAGTGACAAAGCAGATAGAAGGATGTGCAGTTCTGGCTCCCAACCTATAACCATTTCATGTTCATACTCTTTTCAAACGTACACAGTTTTATTTACATCATAGGTAAGCAAATCAAGAGAAATAAAATTTCTACATACCAATGAGCCAGTAGCCTGCAGATCAACTGGATCTTTAAGTGAAGGAGCAATTCTAGACACATGGCAATCAAAATTTGGTGTAGGATCCAGAGCAACTTTCTTTTTGCTGGCAGGAGGTTGGATTTTTTTCACTCTCCCAAAGAGAACCTGCTCAAGTAAAGGAAAAGCTCTCAAAAAAAGATGTGCTAAATCAATTATTTACAGTGTAAGTTAAAGCAAGTGTACAGTACTAGCTTTAAATAGGAAGATTATTAGGCTTCCCCCAACAAAAGCAACTGCTTCCAAGAAATAGTAAACAAGCATATATGTAAGCATATGCATTGAAAATATTAAAGTATCATGTAAAGTACCTGCTATTGGCATAACTAGATGCACAGAATAGTTCTTTTTGTACACCTGTTCTTACTTTGCATGATCTAAGTGTACATGATTTCTAGAATGTACAAAATGGAAGAACATTTTATCAGATTCTAAGTAAAGTAGCTTAGAGAGATTAATGACTCTCATGCACCATAAGGCAACGTATTCTAGGGCTAGGAATAGTATTCACTTTGATAAAATATCTGGAAGAGCCTCAGTGCATTTATGCACTTTAAAAAATTTTACCCAAGTTTTTTACATGGAACCTACCTTGAAAATCATGATGTTTTCTACTTTGATCAATTTACTTTTTGCATAACTAAGAGCAATATCCACATGTCTGAATAAATAAACTCCACAGAGGGGATTTCCTAGTTCCTTCATAGCAGATTCACCGGCACATATTCCGCCATGGTAAATTTTTGAGACTTCATCACGACGCAGAACTAAAAAGCAAAAATGCTCCTCTAGTTCTCTGCCTTGCCTTCCTTCTTCACGCATTTTAGTTCTAGTGATAAAACAAAGATTTCACATTTTGACAATGGAAACAGCTATGAGATTTTAACCATTTACATAAATACAATGCACAAATATTATGTCTAAACAATGATACCAGTGGTACTGTCTGCACTCCCATTTGGGAGGCCTACCTCCCTACAGTTCTGCTTACATCCAAGATCGACCGTTCTGTGAGATTAAATGTCTCACTGGGGAGTTTTTAAAGTATAAAACCGGAAACTATAATGCAATATCTTAAGAATGAGGCATGTGAAAAGAATAACCCTTCCTTTGAATTAAAGATGATACGAGATAAACATGAGATAATACTCCTCTAATAGGCTATTTATTTAGGCAATTGATATGCCATCCTTCTCAAAAAGGTTCAGGTTAGCTTACAATACGAGAAACAGAACAACTTAAAAGAACAGCTAACATAAATAAAACAAAATAACGAAATAAATCTCCAATCCACTAAACAACATCTAGACTCTTACCTAGCTTGCTCCTGTGGCCATATGGCTGAGGGCAAGCAAAACTCGGGGGCATCTGAACCCCAAGCCTTCGGGCTTGCGCCTGCATGTAGGACAACCAGCAAATGATTTGGAAACAGCTGAAGCCCCAGGGAGGGCTGGAGGATGTTTGCCGGGAATAGGGCCACCTGTGGTGCTTGAATGACTCAGAAATTTGGGATTGATTTGGCTGATTTGGCTTGGAACATGAAACATGAGTCATGCATCTGGCTGCACATGTCCACTCAGGTGGGGGAGCTGTGGATCAGGGAGTTCCCAAAACCTGAGCTGCCAGCATCAAGAGACAGCTGGGATGGGACAGCCAGTTGCAGGTGTGCTGGTAAAGGTCTGTGGCACATGCAGCTGTAGAATGGGAAACTCCCTGGTCCACAGCTGCCCACACCTTAAAATGATGTGCATGTAGCTGTCTGCCCATACACTGTTTCAAGGTATGCGTACAATGAGTTGCACATGTGCCAGGGTGTTAGTGAGATGCTCCTTAGCCTGTGTGCAGCCAACCCGTCAATGGCACGCATGCAGCTGGCTGTATACATTTTGGAGTACAGGTACCTGTGGACTGGGGAGCTCCCCAACCCCCAACTGTGTTTACCCTTTAAAGGACCATGGCATAAGCAGCCGTGGATCACAGAGTGCCCTGATTCACAGATGCCTGTGCCACATACCTTGAAACAACCACCTGCGTGTAGGCTAGGGCTCAGGGATCTTCCTGATCTACAGTCAGTGTGGAGTCGATGCCGCATGTGGGCCACAGCACAAACAGCTGGGGAAAGGGTAGCTTCCTTATCTCTAGCTGCCTACACTACCGACCTGTCAATGTGGAATGAAATGTGGAACATTTTTGTGGCTGGCTTGCCATTTTATCATGTAATAAATTGGTTGAATATGTATCATGTCATAATTTATTGCACAATTAACACATTAACCATGCCATAAATCTGCCAGTGACCTATGAGTTGTACATGTCCAGAGAGCAGTACACTCCAGCCACACCATTTCTCTTCTCCCTTCATATCCTCAACACTCCCTTCAGTTCTTGCATACCCTTAGCACATTCTCCTCTGCCATGGGGGCTGCCAGACAAAATGCTACATCTGCCAGCAATATCAATTTACTAGAAAAATCACCTTTTTTGAGGAGAAAAGACAAGGTCAGGCTCTCCAAAGGGAACATAGGAGGAAGAAGAATGTTTCCCATAGGTTTGTGAAGACTTTATATAAACAAATCATGTAGACAGATTAAGAAAAGAGGCAAAAAATGAAGAAACAGGATTTAAAACAAAACTAAATAGAAGTCATGTTTAATAGCAAACAAGCCACAGGTAAGGACACTGGAAAGTAAGGCCCATATCACAACAGGCTTCCCTGATCGTGAGGTGAGGAAGCTGACCTCATAGCATATAGGGACTATGGACAAACAATTAGAAAGGAAGGTCAAATCAAGAAAGATCACCAAGATTAATTTACTACTACTCATTTTACAGTAACCTACCTCTTTGCAGCAAACTTTTTTTCCAGATCCTCATTGTGTACCAACTGTATCTCACCAAATGCCCATAAAGACTGAAGGTCACATCCTATGTCAAGACAAGACTGGTTCAGAGTCCGGGTGATACTACTATATTCCCTCTGATTAGTACAACATGGTGTCAGAGAAACTACAACACAATAAAGGTGAATAAACACTCTGAAATACTATTAGCATAAACAGATTTTATTTATAGTAAATTCCACTAGCCTATTGATTAACTATAGTAAGCATTGACAAGACCTAAGAGAACTTGGCACAACAGATACACTTTTAAAAATGTTTGAGAGGGTATTTTTCTGTTTTTTTCCTTCCTCGTTTTGTTTTTTTTTGCTTTCTGCACTGATGGGAGTCAGATTACTTGTTATTCTAATAGATTTGTTCCAGTGACTTGATCCAGTTGCTTGGAAAGTTCCATTTCACAGGTCTCATAATTGCAGTATAGTACACTTATTCTTAAACGAACACATCTGTTTGGGAGGCTAAAGTCATGTTTAATAGCAAACAAACCAAAGGTAAGGACACTGAAAGAGTGAAAAAAAGAATCTCTTGGCTAGTAATAGCTAATCTCAGTATAGGCCCAGACACTGAATTTGATGACACGCCTGTGGTAACTAACCATTTAGAAGTGTAAAAGTGGCCTGAAGGCCAGCAATATCTAAGTTTGACACTCATCCACTAAAATATTGAATAACAACTAGAGGTATTACAAAAAATAGTACAACTAATTAAAGGAAGCAAACAATGAAACATTTGGAGGAAATATGGCACCAGTTAATGTACTGAAAATTTTCCTTTATACCAAGCAGCATGAGAACTAGTCCCACCTTTTACCATATTTCACAGTGTATAGGTCGACACGGTATATAGGTTGACCCCTGGCTTTCCAATTTGAAAGGCAAGTATATAAGTTTTTTATAAGTCAGGACTGGGCTCAGCGCTCGGGTGGCATGGCCCCATCTCTTGTGAGCAGCATTGTCGACACTCCTTCTAGGGGATGGGGCCATGCCACCCGAGTGCCGAGCCTGTCCCTGGCGAGCGGCGCATCCCCAGCTGAGCCCAGCACTGCTCACAGGGGATGGGGACGGGGACAGGGCTGGGCTTGGCATGGCCCCATCCTGAGAGCAATGCTGCTGGCATTATTAGCAGGGGATGAGGCCATCCCAGCTGAGCACCAAGCCTGGCCCTGTCCCCATCCCTTCCAAGCAGCACCAGGCTTACAGGGCATGGGGTCATACCAGCTGGGTGCTGAGCCTGGGCCTATCTCCTGTAAGTAGTGCTGCTGAGCCCTGAGCCTGGCACCGCTCACAGGGGGCAGGGCTGGGCTCGGTGCTTGGCTGACGTGGCCCCATGCCCTGTGAGCAGCGCCAGGCGCACAGGAGATGAGGCCATGCAAGCCAAGCACCAAGCCTGGCCCTATCTGCTGTGAGCAGTGCTACTGAGCACCGAGCCCAGCACCGCTCATAGGGCACAGGGCCAGGCTTGGCACTCGGCTGGTGTGGCCCCTTCCCCTGTGAGCAGCACTGGTATGGCCCAAGCAGTGCTGCTCGCAGGGGATGGGGCCACACTAGCTGAGCACCAAACCCAGCCCCATGCCCAACTTTTTGATGCAGCATGGTGTATAAGTCAAGTTGGATTTTTAAGCCCCCAAAATTGGGCTTCAAAACCCAACTTGCATATCATGAAGTATGGTACTTCTATTCTCTTGCCTTTCTTAGCTATTGGAAGGGAACAGAGCTCCACTCCTGCCTCCTTTCCAATGTCAGCACACTCACCATGCAGGGGAGACTTTGTGGTACCTACAATGCCAAGTCTGCCTGTTTTGAATTTGCCACATTGCTTGGGCAGGAGCTTGACTTGCACTACTTAAATTTTGGCAAAAAAGAGATGGGAAGCTGAATAATGTGCAGCACAACACACTGAGTCACATTTGTGAAGAGAAATGCACTCTTTCACTGACACAAAAAGTAAGTGTACAGGCACTCGAGCAGTTTGTAGAGGAAAAGATGGTGATTCTGCCACAAACTGCTCTATGATGTTTTCTAGAACCATGTAAAATCCAGTTCAAGAGAGAGGAAGGGAGAGTGCCCGGCTCCCTGGAGCTTGCTCAGCAACAATCTGTCAGGGCACTTGGCACTGCTGTCCCCTGCCCAGTCCCAGAGCAAGGGGGACCATGCAGTAGGGTCAGTCCCCCAGACCCAGGGGCTGACCCCTGCTATTACCCATACTTTTCTTGCCACAGTGAGAGTCCCGTACTTGTAGCTAGAATACAGGCAAAAGGCAGCGTTTTGGCCACAGCCCTGGAACAGTCCCACAACCAGAGCTGACCCCATCCCACAGGAACCCCAGCAACAACCCAGTCTCCCCCTGTCCTCTGAACAGTATCAGGCTCCCTGGGACAGTTCAAGTGGCAGTCCCAGTCCTTCCATGCCCCTTGCAGTCCTGGGTCTCCCTAGGACTCTAGAGACCTAGAAACACTGCCCTCCCCCACTCCTTGCATAGCCCCAGGTCTCCCCAGGACTCTCTGCAAGGGTGACTGGAATGCCCTGGTGACTGGAGACGGTGGGGCTGGCAAGGGACAGCAGTTCTCTTTGTCCCTGCAAGTTTTTCAGGGCAGGGTCTGTCTTTGGAAGCTGCTGCCAGCTGGTCATCAACAGCCTGCCCCCTTCCCCCACAGAGGAGAGGACAGACTAGCAGTGACTGAACTCTCCAGGGGCTGGGGAGAAACCAGGGAGCAAGCCTCTATTGCTCCCTGACTGGACAGCTCACTCCTGTGTAGCTCTCCAGCCAGGCAGCTGGAACATCTGTATGGCTTTCTTCTTGCCACATTTTTGTGACGTTGGAAATTTTTGGTGTTCAATGTGAATGCTGCCCTTACAACTGGCAGGCAGCACAAGACTCAGGTGAGACCAAAAGTCACTGAAGCCAAAGAACACAAGGCAGCAAACATGAGTTTGCTCTGGACTCATCCCTACAGTGCAAGTTGCTTTCCTCATTCACTTGGGCATCAGTGAATATGCATCTGCTGCTTGACAGTTTGGTGGAATTTCAAGTTTTGGGGGCCCATTTAAAGGGAGCCAATACCTATTGTGAGGCCTTGTAGCCTGTTACCCCAAGTTACCCCAATGCGTTAACATGGGTTTGGGGTAAGATGATATACTGCTTTTTTATAATTTATTATTCTTTGATTCTGCCATAATTATATGAAAATTCTACCTTAGCCTTAAAAGTTATTGAATAAAAGTTTACTAAGATTTCTTTGCCTATCCAAATTGCTGCTCTTAAGTCTTTCAGGGTTCAAAAAATTATTCTGGCTAAACTTGGTAAGATAAAAATGTAAATAATTAAAAATAAAAGAATTCTAAAAGTAACAGAACCAACAACAAGTAGAGCTCATCCATCTGGGCATCAGCAAGACATTTTATACAGTACCATATGGGAAGTAATTCATGAAGCTGGAAGAAAGGTAGAACTAAGTAGAGGAAACATATGGTGCAAAAGGAACAGACTAAAAAGGAAATGGACACAGTTGGTGTTGAAAAGTGAAGCATCAGGTTGAATGGATCAGTATTGAGACCACTCTTGCTCATATTTCATTAAATACCCCAGCACAAAAACTAGGAGCATGGTGATGAACTTTGCTGATGACAAGGGATCCAGGTTTTCCGTTTGCCACAGAAAAACATGATAAACTGCACATGTTCTCATTTTAAGGAGAAAAAAACACAGAAAACGATGGGGTTTCCCTTTGCAGGCTGGCGGAGTTCCAGTCTTCAAGAGTCTGACGGGAGTAGGAGGAGGGTGATCAGGCAGGGAGCTGTCACGTGCATCTGTGCACACACAGATGCATGTAGCAGCCAGGTAGCATGACAGCAGCTCCTGCAGCTCCCTGCATGTAAGTCGTGGGGATGGAGATTGAGGCCCCCATAGTGAGGGAGGGAGGGAGTGGTGTGTGGGTCTTGGGGCCCGGGTAAGGAGTGGGATGGAGCCATGGGTGGCTCATCCGGGAGAGTGGGGGCTGGCTCCACGTCACTGTGTGAACTGCCGGGGAGAGCATGGGGGGGCAGGTGCGCCCCAGATTTTTGCACAGGGAAGGGGTGGATGCAGGCTGCCCACTGTAGGCTTGGGGCTACAGGAGGACAGAGTGGGACAGGGCAGGAAGTCTTGGTGCCGTAGTGTTGTGCCCCCTGCTGCTTCCAGGTGGGAAGAGGGAGCCTCAATATGCCAGCATGGGGCTCTCAGCAATGGCATCAAGCCTCCCCACTGCACTCTGCCCTGCCCTGCTGGGTCCCACCCACTGGGTCGTGGAGGCCCCAGGGGCAGGGCAGCATGGCAGCGAGCCCCAAACCCAGAGCTTGCACCTGCCTCCCTCCAGCCATGGGGCCCACGGGGGAGGGCAAGTCAGGCTCCGTGCTCTGCTTGGGCCACAGCAGCTGCCACCTCCTGCAGGCAGCAGTCAGGGCTTAGGCTGTGTTGGGGTGGGAAACAGGGGGCTGTGGACTCAAGTCCCTGGCCCCATAGCCCTGGCAACTAGGGGCCTCCTCCAGCAAGGCTGGGGGTGGGGAATGAGGGGCACTGGCAGGGCCAGGGGCCTGTGGGTAGGGAGTGAAGTGCAGCAGCAGGGGTGGAGGGGCTGTGGGTTGAGAGTGAAGGGCAATGGCATGGGCAGGGTACTGGCATATCGTGGCTGTTCAGACTCACAAAGCAGTGTGGGAGGGACAGCAGCAGCTGAACCCGCAACCTGGTGAGTGAGTGGGGCATGGGGAGCTCCAATTTTCCATGAAAAACCCCCAAATCAAACACCAAATGTTATAGGCATTTATAATTTATTTTATTATAGTGAATAAGGCACCAGTAGGCTTCCAGACTGCTTTAAAATTGTAGAAATATCAATAAAACATTGTGTTCAACTGATACATATATATATAAAATGGTGTTTCATTTTAATTGCAGAAAAAAGCCACAGATTTGGGGGGTTTTGATCAGATAATTTACTATTTTTATCAGAGAATTTGTGATTTTTGAACAGAGAACACCAGGATCGCTGCTGATGGCACAAAACCAGGAGAGATCATCAATACACAGAAATATGAGATCTACAGAAAAAACTGCTGACCTTGAGCAATGGAGTACTAGAAATGGGATGAAATTCAACAGTGCAAGAACTTGGAAAATAACAACAAGCATGTCTGCTGTAACTTAGGGTCTCAGCTGGAAATAAATGGAAAGGAGGTGGAGAACCTGGTTACACTACAGAATGACTGATTTGCCAATCATGAACGACACGTGCCTCCAGAGGCTGGGGGGGCATGGCCACTACCTGCAGGCGGCTGCAGGGGCAAGTGGGGACCGCCTGCAGGCAGCTGTGGTGATGTTGGCAGCGAGGGCGGGCCAAGTGGGGACCGCCCGCAGGCGGCCATGGTGGTGTCAGCAGCAAGGGTGGGGGTGGCAAGTGGTGTTTGGTGAGTGGGGACCGCCCGCAGCCACTGTCCCATGCTGTTGGTGGCAGCAAGCAGGGACTGCCCACAGCTGCTGGCAGCCGTGTCAGCGGCAAGGGGGGGCAGCAACCGCCCGCAGAAGCTGGCGGCAGCCAATATCAGGGGGGCCCCCCCTACATGTCACCTATGTTGCCAGTGTTTCACAGATGAAAGACAGGCAAATGCAATCCTATGGTATATCAAGAGAGATATTTCAACAGAGAGAGAGAAGTGTTCGGGCTATTATGGAAGTCATTTGTACGACCTCATCTGAAATACTGCAAACAATTCTAGTCCCCGCCCCATTTAATCTTTCTTGAACAGATGCAGAAAACATATTAGGATAATGAGACAATTGAAGAGTCTATCAAATAAGAGAAGAGTAGAAAGGCATGGAATTTTTAGCCTGGCAAAAATCTATCAGGAAGGGAGAAGAGCTATATAAATTAAAGGACAATGTTGGCACAAAAACAAATGTGTATAAACTGGCTATGAATACATTTAGAATAGTAATTAGAAGATGCCTCTCAGCCATTAAACAAGTGACATTCTGGACCTCCCAAATGGAGAGGAAGCAAAAATCCTAACCACTTTTCTGAGAGACCTTATGAAAAGTATTATATAATTAAGGTGTCTTGAGACAGCTGGGGATTCAATTCAGTGATTTTGGGGATCTATGCCAGCCCTATGTTCTTATGTTTTTAAGAGGCTACATGTATTCGGCATCAATCATGAAAGTGTCATTTGCCATAACTAGATAACACAAAGCCTTTCTGCACAATTCAGAAGTAGAGAAAGAGGTGGTTAGCCATGTTAGCCTGAGGTCCCACCCTGCCAAGAAAAAGGATCTGCTCCCCTTCAGAAACTGACAAATGACTGTCTTTAACTCTAGGTACTGATGGTCACACATTAAAGAATATACAGTAGCTGAACAGTCTTCTGGACATATCAGTGAAATGAACCACTACAAAAAATGTTATTTTTTACATTACTGTCAAATAAAAAGTCGGTATTTTTTTCTGAGCTTTAATCATCTATCTTCATAACTGTTAACTGAAGATAAATATAAAGAAACCCACTTGCTTTCCAGGTTCTGCATTATTACAATCTAGTGATGACTGATGAAGTTGTGGAATAAAGCCATCTGCCCCCAATTATAGATGTAATCTTCATTTTCAGAAGTGCTCAGTGTTGCTTTTTTTACATTTTTACTGTACCTTTATCAGACGTTCTCCTTATTTTAGGGATGGTAAATTTTTTTAAAGGATCTGTTTCTAAGCCGGCAGCTGGCATATTCAATGCCTTTTCATTTAATCTGAGATTCTTCTGCACTTTTACATTATTAGCTTCCTCCATTTCCATTTTGTCACAGGCCTAAAAAAGAATGAAAGCTGTTAGAAACTAAGGAAAAGTCAACTACTATTTCTGTTCCTCCATTCAACTGTATTCATTCTATCATCCTGCCATCTGTGAGTGGTCAAGACCCACAAAGTTTCCCATGCTTTAGAAGGGAACTAAAGAATGGTCTCTTCCTAAGCCCCTTACTTCACTCATTTCCTTCAAAAATATACCTTAGCACTCTATTCTATGGCACGCAGTGGACCTAGACCAGTAGGAGTTTAGTTAATCATGACATTGCTCTTCTCCATCTCATGCACTGTCCATCATCCTGTCGCACCCTGCCTGTAACACAGAATTCTAAGCTCTTCAGAGCCAGGTACCTAGCACAATGAACTGGGTCTCAAATGGGTTTCCTAAGCACCATCGTAAGACAAATAAGAAATGATAGAAAACAGCACCCAACTAAATTGCAGTGAATAAACAGTAAAAGCCCTTCAACTTAAATTTGTCTACAGGACTGAATGTAAATTGAAGTGAGATTTTCTGATAGTATACTTCAAACTAACTAGCACAAAGCAGTCACATCTAAATGAACAGCTGGCTTTACATCACGAACAGCTCTTTTACATGGGGACTGGGAAGATTTAAGCACTCAGCATTATAGACAGCCATTCCATACAACTTCTGCCTTGGTCAGCACATCACAGGAATGGTCCCACTGCACATGGTAAGATGTTTAGCTACTTCTTTCTACGACAAAGAGTCAAGTTAAAAAAGGCTGATTATTCCCGTCCTACCAACCAATAATCTGCCTCTTTTTGAGTAGCTGCTGTCACTTGTAAGTCCTAAAAGGTTATTACAAGCTAGCTCCCCATGTTGCAATGTTACATTCAAGTATATGCAGAAGCTTTGTGCTGCTGTATATGACATAGCATTACACAACGGCTGCAGCTTTGCAAGCCACTTGCCATGCTATTAAGCAGTTTTGGCTGTATCTTGCACCAGTAACAGTAACTAAAGCTGTGGTTTCCTCACCCCTGCTTGCAGGTGGAGCTGTAGAACAGGGGAAAGAATTTGAAGAATGGCCAACACCTCCAACTGCTTCTGGACAGTTGCTGACCAAGAGAGAGGGGCTGATTAAGCATCAGGGATGATGTGGTAGATGTTTCTGCCGCTATTAAAAACGTGCTGCCACCACACACTATTGAAGATTACCAGCCTCAGGATGTTTCTGATGTCTTTGCTTGCATGAACACACCAAAGCAACTGACAAAACCCAAGCACTCATGAACAGAGATATTTCCCCATTGTTCTGCAAGCTCCGATTGACCTGTGTGGTGAGTTTACCTATGTGAGCATGGACTAGTCTGGTGGGGAGAGGCAGGGAAAAAAAAAGATCACACAATGCTAGAAGTTTCAGGAACCTTTTGCCAGTTTTCCTAATGAAAAAGAATAAGTTGCCAGCCACTGCAGCAAAATAACATGGACATCAGAGTCAGTGTTCTTCCTCTAATTCTAGGAAACCTCGCTTACACCCTGCTGCCTAAGCTGTTGTAGCTTTCTGCTAACTACCACTTAGTCCAGGGCTGTCCAACTTCAAAGCAGCCAGGGGCCATGCACCATGTAGTCCACACAATGACCCCCCCCACCCACACATACACCACTGCATTGCATGCGTGGTCATTAACCTCTTACTACATTACATGCATGGGCAACCACTGCATAACCCTAATCAGGACCCCTAACCGTCAGCCCCACCCAGTATGATAGGCCAGCTGGGGTGTCAGGCTGGCTGTGCCTTCATACCACCTGACTGGTTTGAAAAGCATCTCTGTGGACCAAGACCTTGTAGGGGTGGAGAGGCTTGTGTGTCCCAATGATCCTCAGAGCTATGTTGCCTGGAGTCTTGCACTCCTGCAAGGGTCACCCATGGCAAACAGGCCTGAGCAGAGGTTCTAGATAAACCATGATCCAACCCCAAGTCCTCAACAGTGGATCAAGTGGAAAAAGATGTCTGGATCTCAACAGTTGTGTAGCATGTCAGGATCCCAGGGGTGCATCCCCACGATGCCCCCTGGTGGCTCTGACTGTGCGTGGTCCCAGTCCAACTGGCTCCTCACTGGGCCACTCCTGTCCCAGGCCCCTCGCTGGGCCACTCAGGCCAACTGTGCCCTGCAGGGCACCCAAAGCCTTAGGGGCTAATCGTGTGGCTCTAATCCTCCCCTACACCATACCCAAGCCTCACAGGTGTTACAATAATGACGTTCCCTGTCAGGGCTTTGACCTCCTACCCTTTACTCTATCTAGGCCTTCTAGCCTGGGCCCACTGTATCAGACCTGGCTTTGAGGCACAAACTCTGGTTTGGCCTTTTCAGCCACCAGGCCCCTAGCCTGTATCTGCTCACACCCCTCTGGGGCACCAGGCCCCTGGCCCGTCTGGCTCTGTGGCCTTGCACTCTGTCCCTCTCTGGCTCAACAGCTGCTCATGCCTTCAGGCTATCCCTGGCAGGGCTCAGGGCAATTGTGCGCCCCACAGACACCAATGGGACCTCCATATACCTCCCCTAAAGTCCTAACCCAAACCACTGGTGTAACTAACATAAACATAAGTCCCTGAGCTATAACATAAACAACAACAGTGGAAGCATCCCTCTGCCCCCTTAAGAGGACAAACCTTTCTTCACCCCTTGTGCTGGCATACATCCCAGCCTGGCCTCCCTGTAAGCTCCCTGTGCCTCAATGTACCTGCAGGCAGCAAAGCAGACAGTCTAGTGTCCTTAGGTAGCTCTCCTGGGCAGGAGCTCCTAACCCTGCGGCTGGCAGGGCTAAACTGGCTTGCTAGCCCAAACCCCAAGCTTATATCCTGTCAGGGCCCTGCCCACTTCTGGTCAGTAGGCTGCCTGCAGATGCCTACCAACTGCCTGATTTGCCCTGTTTCCCCAGCAGTTGGCAGCTGTAGCACCCTGCCTAGCCTGCAGTGCTCCCTGGCTAAGCTACTTTTATCTTAAAGGAATAGGGAGCCCCAGGGTCTCTGTTACAGGTTGTAAAGATGGAAGAAGTCTGCAGCAAGATGGATTTCTCCTGTCATTTAGTGTTCTCCCTTGCCACTGGGCTCAGATCTCCACCTTGTCTAGATCATGTGTGCTGTTTCCACACACCAGCTTCCTCACACTAAACAAAGTCATGTAGAGGCTTCTACCACCAGAAGCTCTCTGCCCTGTTCGCAAGTGAAGGCAACACCAAGGAATTCTGGAAGGGGTTTAAAACCACCATTCATATGGCCTGTACTGAATCCATTGGCTATACCACGCATTGACACCAAGACTGGTTCAATGAGAGTGACACCAAGATCCAAGCCCTCCTTGACTGGAAGAGAAGGGCACAAAAATGACACC